CCACAGACATTCTTGATATAGCTTATTATGAATTTGTGGCTCATGGATTTTCCTAAATTTTTCTCAAACTTGTAAATATTTGTGGGCTAAATAAAGTTATTGTGGTAATAAACTTCATAGGTTTATAATCAATTAATAGACAAGTCCTTCCTGGTTATTTATTTTATAAATCACTTCTGAAACTTCAAATATTCACATGTCAATTTCTAAGTATTGACTTTTAATATTTTAAATGTATGTAATGCTAAGCTTTTGGTATGGATTGCATCTCAATGCAAAAAAAAAAAAAAAAAAAAAAAAAATCCTCACCACTGGACCAATAAACAAGATTCTTATCAACAGAGAAAAGATTGAAGTCAAGGACTTCATTCTTATTGGATCAACCACCAACACTCTTATGGAAACAGTGGTCAAGAAATCAAACAACGTATTGCATTATGCAAATCTGTTGTACAAAACCTTTTTAAAGTGTTGAAGAGCAAAGATGTCAAGGTGTGCCTGACCCAAGCCATGATATTTTCAATAACCTCATATGCATGCAAAAGCTGGACAGTGAATAAGGAAGATCATAGAAGAAATGAATGTTTTGAGTTATGGTGTTGGAGGAGAATATTGAAAGTGCCATGGGCGTCCAAAGGAACCAACAGATCTGTGATGGAAGAAGTACAGCCAGAGTGCTCCTTGGAGGCCAGGATGGCCTAACTTTATCTCTCATACTTTGGACATATTGTCAGGAGGGACCAGTCACTGGTCATATTTGGTAAGATAAAAACAGGAAGACTGGTCATATTTGGTAAGATAAAAACTGGTCAGATAAAAACAGGAAGACCCCCAGCGATACGGACTGGCAAAGTGGCAGCATCAATGGGCTCAAGCATGACAACAATTGTGAGGTTGGTCCAGGACCAGGCAGTGTTTTATTCTGTTGTGCATAATAGGGTCGCTATGAGTTGCTACAGACTCAATAACCCCTAAAAACAACAATGCTAAGGTCCAGTTTCCTTCCTCTCATTAGCATCAAGATTTTGCTCATTTCTTTAAATTTGTGACATGACCTTATTCATATAGTCATGATATATGTAACCCTACCCACATTTATCTTAGGTTTGGGGGCCACGGAGAGACAATTTTAACATCAAGATTCTTGACTGACATATAGAAAAGATTTGCAAAACTGAAATCAGAAACAAGGAGGAAAGTTTAGATCTAAGTTTTGGGCCCCAGTGTATGATATTTGAAATCCCCTATCTAGTCAAAAGTACTTTTCAGTATATTTCAAAGCACATGGAAATTAAATGGGATTTATTAATCAGAACTCTAAATTTTGTTTTAACGTCACAATTATTATTTAAATCAGAGAACTATAGCTTAAGGGTATAAAATTACCTATCATCTGTGTTTGTAAATAAAATTTGATTGTTATGTATTATCTCTGGCTGTCTAGAGCTACAAGACCAGAATTGAGGAGTTGCAAAAGAGACCATATGATCTAAGAAAATTTTACAGATTTGTTATCTGAACCCTCACAGAAAAAATTTGTTGAAATCTGGCCTTAAACTATTTAAAATTTCAAATATAACAGAAGTAAATAATGATGTATGTACAACCTTGGAACAACAGGACTCTGGGATTCCGGGATTGAGGCATGGTTGGAATGGTCAAAATGGGGGAAATAATGTTAAGATGCTTGGCTGTCTTTTGAGTCTTGGTTTCCCTTGCATACCATTATAAAATAGACACTTGAAAAGCCAGAAATATCACCATAGAAAGCTTATAAATCCATCTTCTGCCTATAACTGATTGGAATACCCAAAATGGGATTATAAAGTGCCCAGTGTAGGAGCTTCCTGAGGAGACTCTGCATTGCAGAAGACCATAGGTGGAATCCTGAACCCCATCCAGAATCTTCTGAGGTGGGGAATTTCCACTTGAAAGAACAAGCATACCAGCCTGGAGCAGCTAGAAGAACAGAAGACACTTCTTGAAAGAAAGACCAACAGGAAAAATACAAACAATAACAGAAGTCCAACTGACTACTACAAGAACAAGCAAGTTGCTCACTCAGGAGACATCAAGATAAGTGGTCAGGTCCCCTCAGGGCAAACACCCTTTCAAGACTAAGACTCAATGGGAATACAGGAGCAGACATGCTCTCTGACTGGTGACCACGTTTGTCACCAATAAGAGGAAGTGAGGGAAAAATAGCAATGAAGTTGCAAGCTAAGCCCTACCACATTCAATAGACTCCTGTGAACCTGGGTGGAGATCTGTTTGACCAGTAGTATGGCAAGACCTGAGGACTTCTGGGCACAGAGTCAGTGACATAGCCACAGAAGACTAGAGTAGACAGTGAGGTGTCCCACTGATAAGAAGAGAGGCCATATACACAAGAACACCCACACTTGCAGATAATACCCACTTGACTTGGCTTCAATGGCTGGATGATCAGAACTCAACTAGAAGGGAAAGAAGAGGAAAAAAAGAGTAATCTGACACAATTTGATGAACTTGACTTACACCTATGGATGCAGTAGCTCAAAAGAGGGAACAAATCTTTACAGCAAGGATCATTCGCATCCCTTTGACACACAGGGTAGACAGGGATGGGCAACATGAACATTGGCTACCCAAAATGTCGGGTGGGGGGGCCTACAAAGACAAGAAGTGATGGGCTTACAAGCTTTCAAGAGGGTGCCTAGATCCTGAGGGCGCAGAGGAAGGTAGAATCTCCACTGAGTAGTATCCAATCTGTCTGGGTGAGACTGATGAAAGGAGATGGGGATAGCACTCATGTGGTACAATGGTAAATAATTGCTATCAGGACTGACTGTGATGATTGGAAATGGAAAGGTAGACTTTTTGTAACAAAGGAGGGGAGTGGTAGATTTTGCAGTCCAGGAGTTGAAATCCCTGGGACCATCAAGGGAGAAGAGCAGAGTGCAGGACCCTACCCAGAGAACCGGTGATATCAGAGATGGAGGCAGAGATGGTGATGTGAAAAGATGAAGTGGCTGTGGACTCTAGACCCAGAGAGGGAGAGGTGCTGAGTGCTGACGACTAGGGGGCAGGTTTGCAGAATATACCCTTTTGTTGGTTGATGATGCATGGAGGTGATTGTAACCATGGCAATGAAATGATATACGATAGGATGACTGTAAAGCTAATGTTTTGCCATGTAAACTATCACATAATTCACAAGGAAACATCAAAAAAAAAAAAAGAAAGAAAGAAATCAAATGACCTATTATCCTGGTAAATCAGCATCAAAACACCTTTTGAAAATGTTAAGACCAAAGATTTCAGTTTGAGGATGAAATTGTGCCTGACCCAAGGACTGGTCCCGCCCGATAGCTATTGAAAGTAGTTAAGATTAATTGCCAAAGCACTTCTGTGAAATGTCGAGTTCTTTTTATTTAAAAAAAATTTTTTTGGTTTATATTTTTTCTATTCGTGATCTTTTGCGTGGTTTGGCGCCAGCCATTGTCACTTCTTTGTATTATTTAGAGGTTGAAATAAAACAGTATGATGGTTTTGGATTAAAAAAATAAATAAATATTGGCAATATTGGTGTTGCTGCTGTTAACTGCTATCAAGTCAATTCATAGCAACCCTTTATAAGACTTCTGAGGAAGGGCTTGTTGGTTGAATCCCATCCTTATGATTCAAACTAACATTGCAATCCAATGCTTATCCTACAGCACCATACCAGGACTCTAATCCCTGACACAAATCATGTTATTATTGATATTCTTATACTAATAATCTATATTAAGGTCTTTTAACACTGTTCCTTCCTTTCATTTAAAAAATCTGATTATAGGTCTTTATGATAATTAAATGTTATTATTACATGTCTTCAAGTTGGTTCCTACTCATAGTGATCTTATTTTATATAGGGTCTCTATGTCTATATATCTTTGTGGGATCAGAAAGCCTCATCTTTCTCCCAAATAGCAGCTGGTGGACTTGAATTACCAATCTTGTGACTTGCAGTCCATTACTTATACAGACTCATTGCCCTCACCATGCTTATTAATTGTTGTTGTTAAGTGCTGTTGAATCAGTTCCAATTTATAACAACCCTGTATAGAGTTTCTGAGAAGTGGCTGGTGAGTTTTCATCATTGACCTTGGAGTTCAAATTTAATAGCTTATTTTTGTGTGTGTGATTCATGTGTTAGTTTACTTGGGAGAACATTATCTTTACAAACAACCAAAGGGTACATCCCGCACGCTTGCTCCCAGGTCTCCAGCACACAGCCCCTCCTCCTCCCTGGGTCCAGAGTCCCCAGCCTCTCTTTCTGTCCATGTCATCATCTCTGCCTCCATCCCTTATGCCACTGCCTCTCTGGACAGAGTCCTGCACTTTGCCTTTCTCGTTTGATGGTTCTAGGGATCTCCACTCCTGGGCTGCAAAATCAGCCACTTGCCTCCTTTTGTTACAAAACATTTACATTTACCTTTCCAATGCTCACTGTCAGATGTGATAGCAATCATTCCCTATTGTACCACAGGAGTCCTATCCTTCTTCACCTTTTATCATCCCTATCCAGACAAGTTGGAAAAAACTCAGTGGAGATTCTACCTTTCCCTGTACTCTCTGGAACTAGGTTTCTTATTGAAAGCTTGTAAGCCAGTCACTTCTTGCCTTTGTAGCCACCCCCCCACTCCATGTTGGGTAGCCAATTTTAAAGGAAGTATCTACCTTCTGCTCTTTTTACCCATTTTCCTCTTTCTTCTTGCTTTGTAACAGTGCAGGAACCTGGAAATCACTACTTGGTGTTCAAATGAAGCACGTTAATGGTCAAGATGAGTATAATTGAAAGCTGTAATTTCACACATGAATAGCTTGGGACGTGGTAGCAAAACTCTTCTCCCCACTTTCATGTTTAAAATGTAATAGGACTTCTCTATAATGACTTTTACTGGTAGCTAATTAGAATAACTGATAGAGTCAAACTATTTTCAGTGGAGATGGAACATTTTACAAAAGTACATTACCACTGTCACAGCGGAATTTATTCTTGCAGTCAACCGCTTCAATTTTGCAGAGCTTGGATGGAATGCATGGCTGAAAGTTCACAAGGGGCTCAGTACATGGTTGTCCCGCAAATTGACTGGGGCGCAAGACTGATCTAGACTTAAACTGAAAGGAAAGAGAAACATGAGTCATTTTGAAGTATGGTCTAAGCCAGAACATATTTAAGAAAACATTTCTTTATAATCATTTTGTATTTTGTTGCTACTGCTGAGAATATACACAGAAGAAAACATACCAATTCAAGAATTTTAAAATTTACAATTCAGTGACACTGGTTGCATTCTTAGAGTTGTAAAATTAACCTCCTTTTCTAAACCTGCTAAGACAAACTCACTGTCCCCCCACCTCCAGTCTTCTATCTAATATTTGGAATTACTATTGTCAATTTGATCACTTATGGTGATGGTGGTGGTTTCTGAGGCTGTAAATCTTTATAAGAATAGAAAGCTTCATCTTTCTCCTGTGGAGCAACTGGTAGATTTTAACTACTTGTGATTAGCAGCCCAGCTCACAATTCCCTATGCTACCATGGATCCTTTGGCCCTATACATTGCTGTTGTCAAGTGCCATGAGTTGGTTCTGAGTCATAGAGACCCTGTATGGGGTTTCCAAGGAAAGGCTGGTGAGTTTGAACTTCTGATCTTGTGGCCTGTGGCCCAACCTGTGGCCCAAACTGACCCTGTGGTCAAGTGCTTATCCTACAGGTGCCACACCAAGACTCCTTGATACCATATGTTGTTGTAAAGTGTCACTAAGTTCTGACTCATAGTGACCCTGTATAGGGTTTCCAAGGAGAAGCTGGTGGGTTTGAATCACTGACCTTGTGGTTTGCAGTCCAGTGCTGTTCCTACAACACCACCCCTTAGAGAAACCTCTTAAAAGATAATAGTACTCAAGACAGGCACCCTTACTGGCTTGACATTTATAGATGATGTCAGGGGGAGCTTCTTGGTTTACGTTTAAAGATTATCTCAGGACAATATCTAGCTTCATCTAGCTCTATGGCTCCAAACAATTTTGAATTCTATGGATATTCATAGAATTGTTTGGTTTTGTTTACGAAATGTTTTGCATTTCCTCCCTTTTGGTACTACCACTTGTCTGTCAGTTTGTTGTATTATGGTCACTATGCTGTGATGTTGGAAGTTATGCCACTGGCATTTTAAATACCAGCAGGGTCACCATGTGGACAGGTTTCAGTAGAGTTTCCAGACTAACACAGACTAAGGAAGAGGAGAAGTGGACATCTCAATGGTAAGCCTCTGAAAACACAATAAATAGCAGCAGAACATTGCCATAAGATGAGACATTCAGGTTGGAAATCACTCAACACATGACTAGGGAAGAACTGCCTAGTCAAAGTACAGTTGGTTTTAATAATGTGAATGAAGCAAAACTTTTGGGACCTTCATTTGCTGATGAAATGAAATGAAAATGCTGCAAACATCCATTAATACTTGGAACGTGCAATATATGAAGAATAAATCTAGGGAAATTAGAAGTTGTCAAAAAATGAGACAGAATGCACAAAATTCTATATCTTTTAAGAAGCTAAAATGGACTGGTATTGGCCATTTTGAATTGGAAAATCATATGGCTTACTATGCCAGGAACAACAAATTAAAGATGACTGACACCATATTCATCATCAAAAAGAGCATTTAAAGTCTATCTTGAAGTACAGTGTTGTCTATGGTAGGAAAATATCCACCTGCCTATGAAGAAGACAAATTAATATAACCACCACCACCAGTGGTTGGAATGCCAAAGTTGGAAACAAAGAGGAAGTATCAGTAGTTGGAAAACATGACCCTGATGATAGAAATGATGCTGGAGATTACATGATACAATTTTGCAAGACCAATGACTTGTTAATTGTAAATACTTTTTTTTTTTTTTTAACAACATAAAAGGTAACTATAGGTGTGGACCTCACACACAGATAATACACATGAATCAAATCGACTACATCTGTGGAAAGAGAAGATGAAGAAGCTCAATATTATCAGCCCAAACAAGGTCGATGTTGTTCAGGCTGAAGCTGAAGAAAATTAAAGCAAGTCTATAAGAACCAAAATAGCATCTTGGGTACATGCCACCTGATCTAGCAAACATGTCAAAAGCAGAGTTGATAAATTAGAATAAAAAAAATCGGAAGAGTTATGGTATAACATCAAGAAAGCAAAAGGTCACTTGGGGGAAAACAGATCTGTATCTCAGGCACAGCCTCTGGTGTTTTATAGGTCTATTCACACACAGTACATAGTAAGAGTCAATCAAATTTGTAATTTTGAATCAAGCAGCAGTTCAGTTAATAAATTCATATTGTATATTTTTTAAAAAAAAAAGCAAAATGTCATTAAAATGACAGGAAAGGCAGAAAAGTCCAAACTGGATGCCAGAAGAGACTGAAACATACTCTCCAGCATAGAAATGATAAAGGAAATAGGAGAAATGATGAAATAAAAGAGGGGGAAAAAACTTCCAAAGGGAAGCATGAGAAGAAAAAGTCAAGTATTACAATGAAATGTGCAAAGACCTGGAGTTAGAAAATTAAAAAAGAAAAGAAAAGAAAACAAAAAAAATGCTCAGAATTTTTCAAGCTGAAAGAACTGAAGAGACATTTCAAGAATCAATAGTGATATTGAAGGATTCCATGGCCAAACACTGAATGATGCAAAAAGCATCAAAAGAAGTTGGAAGGAATATGCTATACTAAATAAATTTCAACCATTTCAAGGAGTTGAATATGATTAAGACTAGATGGCACTTACAGAAGAAGTCCAAGCCACACTAAAATCATTAACAAGAAACAAGACTCAAGAATATGATGGAACATAAATTGAAATCTTTCATCAAACTAATGGAGCACTGGAGGCAATCATTTATATATGCCAAGAAATTTAGAAGGAAGCTACCTGACTAATCAATTGGAAAATATCCATATTTTTTCCCATCCCAAAGAAAGGAGACCTAATGAAAGGCTGAAATCATAGAACAATATCTTTAATATCACATGCCAGTAAACCTTTGCTGAAGATAATTCAAAAACAGAACAATAGGGAGCTGCCAGAAATTCAAGATGGATGCAGAAAAGAACATGAAATTAGGAATATCATTGCTGATGTTAGAAGAATCTTTTGTGAAAATTAGAAAGATATTTACTGGTGCTTTATTGACTATACACAGCAAATGCATAGTGGAGATCATAGAAAACTATGGATAACAGTGAGAAGAAAGAATATACCAGCATACTTAATTGTGTTCATGTGGAACATGTATATAGAAAAAAGGTAGTCATCAAATAGAACAAGGGGATACTGAATATTTAAAATCAAGAAAGATGTGTGGCAGGATTGTATCCTTTCACCATATTGAGATATTGGATTATATGAAGAAGAACATGGCTTCAGGATTGAAGGAAGAGTCAATAACAACCTGAGATATGCAGATAATACAACCTTGTTTGCTGAAGGTGAAGAGGACTTAAGAAACTTACTGATGTAGATCAAAGACAATAGCCTCCAAAATGAATTGCACCTCAATATAATGAAAACAAAAATAATCTTAACTGGAAAAATAAATAACATCATGATAAATGAAGAAAATATTGAGACTTTTAAAGATTTCATTTTGCTTGGATGAACAACTAACATTCCCTGAATAAATCAAATTACATATTGTTATAGGCAAATCTTCTGCAAAAGACCTCTTTAAATGTGTTAGAGAGCAAAAATATCAGTTTAAGGACTAAGGTGCATTTGACCCAAGCCATAGATAGTATTGTCAGTCTCGTAATATGCATGTCAAATTTAGACAAGAATAAGGAAAATTATGGAAGAATCAAAACATTTGAATTATGGTGTTGGAGAAGAATATTGAATGTACAATGGACTGTGAGGAGAACTAACAAATCTTACAAGATGCACAACAAGAATGCTACTTCAAAGTGAGGATTGTGAGGCACAGATGCTCAGCCCAAAAGCAGGGCCTGAACATTTTTGTTTTTTAATATGGGAATGGGCATGATAGGGCAGTAGAGAGGGAAAGAGTTTTAAAAAAAAAAAAAACAGGCCAAAAATTAAATTAAAGCCTGAGGTATAGCATAACAACCAACACCGGCATCTTGAAATCTCTAAGGCAGCTTTGAAAGAAAGAAGCTGAAGAGAAGACATTAATGGCATACTCATATTAGGCTACAGATTTTTTTTTTTCCTTCTCTCACTCCTCTGTCTTTTCTGTGATTATAGACTGCAGTATTCAGTCTAGTTTTTGTTGTTGCTTTTTGTTGTTGTTGTTGTTTTCCTCTTGATTTTTTATTTTATTTTACTGGTGCTGTTTTACTGTTTTATGCTCCCCTTCTACCTTTGGAGGACTCTTTCTCTCCATATATTACACAAGAAGAATCAGCAACTACTGCCATATAGCCACGCTACAATCACACTCTACAAAATACAAAAACCCAGGCAAGAATCAATACCAAGTGCCATATACCAGGGAAATAGACAACACCTGTGAAAGTTACTCTAATTTAAGCAATAAGAAGAGTAATAAAGGAAGCCCACATCCTGATAACATCTTCCTGGAAGCAATCAGAAAGCATAAAAAATTACCAAAATATATATTCAATTAAGTATTAAGGCCACAGATAAACATTAAATATGTCCAAGAAGCAAAAGCAGAAGACCATATCAGCACATGTCCAGAAACAAGATAAAATGTCTGAGACAAATGACCTAGAGGTAAACCTGGATTCCATTCTGGAGGGAGGGCAAGCCTTGGAAATGCCTGAGAAAGATTCAGAAAAAT